GACTTTAGCCTAATAAAAACTAACATTTATCTTAAAGAAAATGACATGGGGTCCACATATCTCCCATGTTTAAAAAAAAAATAACTTATTACATTTTACACATGTTACATAAGACATATGACACAATATTCAAGATTTCCTTTAAATATGCTTTGTTAAATTTAATCGGCAAAATCTTGACTGTCCACGTATTACTTCTGCTTTTTGGATACATGTCAGGGTATTACGTGTTGGACGTTTCTGGTTGTCCAGATCTCCATCCTCCAGATTTTTATCAATCCTTGAACCACATCCGTCAAGTCAGTTTTTCCCAATTTCACTATTAATTCATTCAAATTCTCGAGTTTGAGTGTTGACATGTCAAACAAATGACATTTTCTCATTACCTCAAGTTTTTGAATTCCTGCTTCGTAGAGTAAGGCAGTTCCCTTGAACTCCTCATCCTCATAAAATAGTTTGTCAGCTTCCAGCCATGCTAACCTTCTTGCTAGCTTTTCTAAACACCTCTGCAGCTATACTTCCCCTTGTCTTGTCGCCATTGCGATTCTAATTTGGGTTCCCAGATCCTCTCAGAGTGTTTGACTTGTTGAAGTTAATTTTAAGCCTTTTGGAAAGCTAAACCTCTCACAAATATCTGTGTCAATTAACCGTTTTTTTTTTGTGGAGTGTGTGTCACCACGCTTGTAGCGCCTGACGATGAGTCCTCAGAATTTTTGATCTTTATCAGTGGACAATGAGCCCGTTCATGTCCTTCCTGTTTACAAGACTAGCAAACTATTGCTTTTTTCTGAGTCGTTTCCTTCTTAAGAGTAACCCTCTTTTCAGAAGTATTTTCCTTCGTAGAAGTTTCACCCTTCAATCGTTGAAATTTCGGGCTTCTTCTATTCGAAGTATCAGAATCATAGTCATGATTCTTTCCTTCTACATGCTTTACTGCAGTAACCTACTTAGAAGAAGAAGCCACCTGCTTATCCGCAGTTTTCTCCTTTTTAGCAATAACCTTTGAAGTTGAAGTAACCTTCAAAGGGCAGTTCCTTCTCAAGTGTCCTCGTTGCTTACACTTGGAGCATGAGAAGTGATTTCTAGTTTCCTTCTTGTCCGCCATTATCTTGCAATTCTTTTGCAAAATGTCTGGACAAAAAGTCAGCAACAAAGTTAGATTTACCAGAAATATATTAAAATTTGATTCTATAATTTGCAAACCAAATCTACCATCTAATTAGTCTAGCTTTATCATCCTTTAAAGACAGTTTCATAAAGGTTTTTAAATATTTAAAGTATGTCCTTAAAGTAAATTCCTGACTGATTACAAACAATCGAAATCGGTCAATACATTCTTTTGCTGCTAAAACTTCCTTCTCATGGACAGGATAGTTTATCTCAGCAGGAGAGAATTTTCCTGACGCATATCGAACAATCCGTTCAATATTATCAATACCCTTAGCCTTAAGCACACCTCCCCAATACAAGTGAGATGCATCACTTTCTATAATGAGTTAATCCTAATCTTCAGGGAGTTTTAAAGGTTTTAATTACTTTGTCAAGGCCTTAGTCCGCTTAACACAATTAGTGTCTTCAAGTGTCCAAACCCAGGGCACTTTATCACTAACCTTAAGCGTTAAGCCATTAATTACATTAGCGAGATTAGGAACATATTCGCACATGTAATTGGCTAATCCAAGAAATTGCTGTAACATGTGCTTATCCTCTAGCACATCTAGAAATTCTAGCAACTTCTTTGAGATATATTCTTGGAGTTGAATACCTCCTTCACCTATCTCAAGTTCTCAACGCCTAAGAACTTCACCTTGTTCTTAAACCACTCTACCTTTCTTTCAGATAGAATCATTCCATTATCAAGAAACTTTTTGCTCACCAGTCTAAGATGATTTACATGTTCTTCCTTGGTTTTACTAAAAACTAGAACATCATCAATATAAACTACACAAAAGTTAGATAAATCTCCAAAGACTTTATCCATTTTCCTCTGGAATATTGATCGTGCCTGCTTAAGTCCAAAAGGCAGAACCATCCATTCAAACAATCCTTTCGGACAGGTGAAAGCCGTCAAAGGAATGCTTGACTTCGCCATCCTGATCTGCCAAAATCCCGACTTTAGATCAAATTTAGAGAAGATTCTTCCAAATCTAGCTTTATTCAAACAAGCTGATTTGTTTGGTATCTTATAAGCATCGTCAATGGTTTTCTCATTTAACTGCCTATAATCAATAACCATCCGCGCTTTACCTCTTAATTGGTCAGCTCTATTCATGACCATGAATGTTGGCGAAGAGTGTGGACTTTTACTGGCCCGTATCAATTGCTTTTCCAGCAATTCCGATATTTGCTTACTGAATTCCTCCTCTACATCAGGAGTATAAGGATAGGATTTGGTCACTATTTTATCATCCTTCCTTTTCAATTCAAGTGAAGCATATATACTGTTCCTTTCCCATAACTTTAATGGTTGATCATCAAAACATGGAGAAAGTTCTTCTTTTAAGGATTTTACAAGTTCCTTAATCCTTAAAGAGTTTGGCTCTCGTTTTCAACCTTCAAGATTTTTTCCTTATGTATGAATTTATCCGTGCTCTCAAGGCATGTACCAGAGGGATCAACTTGCTACGATATACCTCGTGCGATCCGGTTTGTATGATAACTAGGATACAACCTTTGAAAGAAAACATTACAAGCCTCATCCGTTTCTTCTATTTCAGAAGTTTTCAACCACCAATTTTCCTTTTCTAAAATTTGGAAAACAATGTGATCTGCTTCTTGCCTTAGTTTCACCGGTCTAAAACCGTTTCATACTTTCGAAACTTCAGGCTTAGCAAGAATAGGGATTTTATGTCCTTCAAGGATAATGTGGTTGTTATCCTGAGTAAATGACCTAACTTCTGCTTGACCTCGCAGAAAGCTATTTCCGAGAATAAAATCTACCTCCTAGTAATCCACTACTAAGACTTCCCTTAGAGTAATTTTTTTCTCGTTTAACAGTACAACCACGTTTTCTACCACATCCATGATCATACTTTGACCTCCATCTGCAACCGTATTTAGGATTGGTTTTTCCAATGGTTTCCAAAGCTCCTGTGGAAAACATTGCTTCCTTGCAATACATTTGGTCGCTCCTGTGTCTACAAGAATATCCAGAGTATATTCCTCATATTCTGGAAAACACAGTTTAGCACGTATACATGTGTCAATAGTCCCCCGGACTATCGCATGACAATGCATTTCATGACTCATCATCATTTTCGTGCTTGGAGTCTCGTCTTCATATACTGGGATTTGCACAGATTTATACCCAACAATTTTCTTACTATTGCTACTTCCAGCATCACTAGCAGTGCCATCTGTTTCCAGTATATTTTTCCTTAATATGATAGGTTGAATTTCCTTATTCCACTCTAGAGACACCGAATTTCTAGGCGTAGGAAGAGTAACTTCAACCTCATTATCAAGTTCTTGGATTTGAATTCCCCGATTTGGGTTTAATTCCACCACGCTGGGTTACGTTGAATATTCCGAAACCCATCGTTTCAGCCACGTAAGAGCCTTAACATTGACTACCGTAGGTCAAATTGGAATTGCAAAATCCTGTCCCGGGCCATGAACCTCAGTATCTGCACTGGAGTTCATATGTATAAGATTAACAGAATTTATCAAGCGATAAATTAACTTATACTGAATTGCTATTCCATCACTAGAAGCCATCAAGTCTTCTAGTCCAGAAGTATGAATTCGAAGAACCATAATCCGTTTGAGGTTTGGATCCTGGAGACTAACCATATATCCTGGTTTAACAGTCCCGTAGGCATCTCCCAAAGCTAGATTAGTGTGAAAACCGCCAACTAAAGCTTTACCAAACGTAAGCCATCGTCTGTCCAGTAAAGCGATCTGAACAGGTATATTCATTCCTCCACGGAATAGTCCCTGCACACGAACCTGTACAGCACCAAGTTATATATAATTATACTTGCCATTTGCCCGTTTGGCAAGATTTCGAACCTTCCGTAGCCACTCATCATTCAAGAGTACTAATTCACCCTCTCAAGATTGAGACAAAGCTACACAAATAGGTTTTTCGTGTACATCTTCCAAGCCTTCAGCTTTAAATAGCCACTTAGAGCATTTTTCGAAAACCTCTCTAGGTGTTATCCTCAGAATTACCCAATTGTCAGGGTTACCCGAGTGATCCTCATAATTAGATGATGAACTAATTACCGAGTTAAGATGTTCATCTTCATTCTAATTGGGATAAGATCATCCTTATCACCAATACTGCTATTCCTAGGATATTCATTAGGACTACTAGTCTGTTGCATGAATATACCTACACGTTGAAGATTTGAAGATTGTTCCTCAAAAGTCATATCTTTTGAGTCATCCTCTGAAGAATCTGAATCATCAGAGTAATCCGAAATTAATTCATAAACCTCATCATCAAAATCAATTTCGTATCCCCAAACTGGCTCAAATTCAGAAGTTTGGCTTTCCGTGTTGATTTCCAAAAATCTTACTGCAGCCTTCTTCTTGCCCTTATGAGGGTATTTATCCGCAAAATGATTCTTGTCACCACAAATCCAACAACAATTACAATCTTTTGCATTTTTGCCAGATGGGCAGGTAGCACAAAACTTACGCGCTCCACGTTCCTTAGCGTTAAGTCTACCTTTCCTTGTTCGCCTAATAAACCTTTCATGATCCGGAAGATTTCGTTTATTAGTAACAGGTCGTTTTACCATATTACGAAAACGTTTCGGCTTAAAGTTTCGTTTACCAAACGATCCTTTTCATTTCATATGGTTTTTCCAACCTTGATGTTTAGTCGAATTCCTCGACTCACAGCCATATTGTCCTGGCACTCCATCAAAGTTTTGACAACAAGATTCGTTGAACTCAAGCCTTTTAGCTTCCTTATTCAGCTTGGCATTCAAACATCTTGTCCTCACTAGTTGTCTAACAGCTTCTATTCTTCCTCCTAAAGAATCAACAACCTAATTCTTTTCAAGTAGAAGTTTAAACGCCTCGTTTGCTGCCTTATCCCATCCTGGGGGAAGCTTAGCAAAGAAAGTATTTTTCATGACTTCCTTTGTGCCACCAGGCAACTGATAAAAATTTCGTCTATACTCACAGACAAAATTTTCAAACAGACACATGTCACAAAGCCTAAGCTTTGTTAAAGCTTCTAAGGCAACTACCTCTGCGAGATTCCTACTGGTAATTTTTATCCCAGTAAATTCTCTACAGAGCATATCCTTGAAAAGTGCAAAGATAGCCTCTCCATTTTTCAAGTCCCTTACAGTATCTAACAGACCCGTACCAGCTTCGAGACTTCTCCAAAAGCTTCCTGCAGCTCCCTGCAGTGTGGATCTTAAAAATTTGTAAGTATCACTGAGTAAAAAATTCTTGTTTTGGATATGAACCCAGTTAACAGTTTCCCATGCTTCGATTGCATCCGTTACATTCGTAACACAATCGATGTTTAGGAAACTTTCGCTAGACGATATCTCCACCATTCTAGGTACTCCCCTAGGTATAAACTCCGACCTTATCTTGGTGGGATAAGTTTGTTTATATTCAGGTTTGGAGATTTCCTTAAGGAATCCTTTGAAAGAATTTAAAGGGTTACGAATTCCTTCAAGCGGGTCATCTTTAAACTCAGACTCCCTCGAGATTAGCTCATCGAGCTCCATCTTTTTAGGACCTAGAGTAAGATTTAATCCTCTAGTTTCGTCTCATTTCCTTTGTTTCTTCATTTCTTCCTCATAATACCGGCTGATTCATTCAGCATCTGAGGTAGAAATTTCCGGAATATCAACCTTCCGTTTTCCATCCATTTTATAAACAAAGTCTTCTTCCTTGACACCTTTCATAAAGAGTTTTTCCGCCTTTTCCCAATCACCTTGGGTTTCTTTGGCCACAAACTGTGCATATCCTGGAGGCAATCCGGGATATTTTTCCTGCAAACTAGCTGTAAAATGATCCAAAACATGCTGACCACCCATGGTCAATCTGAATCAGGTCTCAACTCAGTCGCAAAGTCTAACTCTTTATATGGTGTAGGATCTGGATCCAGGTGGGATTTGCCTTACCAGTAAGGAATTACCGCCTCAGCTTTTTCCAACCACTTATTCCGAAGCTCTAGCTCAGAGACTTCAATGGTGGAAATCCGGCAAATAAAACACAAAATCTTTGTGCACCCTTGACTAAAAGCCTTTTGAATAACATCAAAAAGTCGCTTTACACTTAGCCAAGTCAAATAATCATCTCGAATATCTGGGTTGAAGTTACAGAGGTCTAACACAACCCGTTTAACCTCTTGTTCAGTATATCCTTCAATAGGCCACACTTGTTCGATGTCACTCAACACCAGAGACATCTCCTATTTTACTGACTTAGTAAAATAGTTAGAACACGTTCCAGTGTTTTAACCTTTTGAAGTATAGAATTAACCTTTTCAATCTCATTTCCGATCTGGGTTAATTCTTCGTTTAGAGCAAATATACGATACACCGTATAGTTCACTCTCCTGTCTAAGTTTTCAAGCTTCTGGGTCAAAAGCTCTAACTTATCTACGACAGTATTCAACAAACCGATCTTTGGTTTTACCTCGAGACCATGATCTAAATGAAAACAAGTCTTATTTAAACAGACTTCATCATTTACACCATTATTTATGCTATAGAACTTTCAACAGGTTAACAAGTATAAACACATATACCCCCGTCTTCCAAAGCTCTGATACCATTTACACCCACATAATATTTGTAATACCCAGTCTTACAAATATTATGTGGGTGTAAATGGTATCAGAGCTTTGGAAGACGGGGGGTATATGTGTTTATACCTGTTAACCTGTTGAAAGTTCTATAACATGAATAATGGTTTAAATGATGAAGTCTGTTTAACTGAGGCAGTTGATTAATTTAAACATAATGGACCATATTCTTCTCATCCAACCTACTATACCTAGGAAATACCAGTCAGACAAGACATGTTCCAGAATTCAAACTCATCTCATGACAGTTGGTTGGGTTTCTGATGCTATGTATGAATTGGTTCGTGTTGGACATGACAATTTGATTGGTGTAATCATTCGATTGGAAGGAGTACTGTTATGATTTCTTCATCACTGAAGAAGTCATTTTAATTTCTAGTTGGTATTGTCTCTTCTATTGAAATCAATTTGGCATCAAAATTGACAAGAAAGTTTGTTCTGAATTTCTATTTCAGTTTATGAAGAAACTGCTGGCTTGAAGGTGAATGACCCTATTCTACGGACGCACAAGGTAATTTAAATATTCTTTGTTCGAGTCTTTTCCTGGACTGTGAGTTGACTCCATTAGCTTACATATATATTTTGATTTTACAGCCTCTGTCAGTTGAGTTAGGACCTCGAATATTGGGAAATATTTTCGATGGCATTCAGGTTTGGTTCTAAACTTCTGTTATTCTCCTTTAAATGTTACTACTGCAACTTCAGAAGCAACATTTCTTCTTGCCTATTTGTTGTTTCTAATATCTTCTTTTTTTTTAATGAAAATAGAGGCCATTGAAAATTATTGCAAAGAGATTTGGTGATGTCTACATCCCTCGTGGTGTCTCTGTCCCGGCCCTTATAAAGATACGGTATGGGAATTTTAGCCTAAAAAGATAGGTAATTGACGAAAAATCATTTACTGCTGGATATTCTGCTCAATAAGCCAACTTCACTTTCATCTCAATTAGTTTGGTAAATTGCATCAGGGATCTTTTCCTTCATCTTCAACTTACTATAATTCACCTTGTGAGTTAGTACATGCTGATGTCTGGGGACTAGCACCCGTATTATCCTCCACTGGCTTTCGATATTACTTGTTATTTGTTGATGAATTTTCCAGGTATTCCTGGATCTATCTCTTGAAACTCAAATCTGAATTCACTGTAGCTGTAATGCAGTTTCATAAACTTGTGGAACAGCAATTTGATGTCAAAATAAGAAGCTTCCAGTCAGATTGGGGAGGAGAATTCAGACCGTTGACCTTGTATTTGCTTCATCAGTGCTTTCGGAGCAATAGCTTGCAGATCAAAACTACCGAGGAATGAACAGACTCGCAGTTTTAAGGGTAAGCAGCGAGACCTAAAGGACTTAATAGACTCCAGTCCAGAGCAATAAGTCCAGTACAATCCAATATAATCTAGACTAGTGCAGTGCATTCCAGTATTTTTTATTTCTTTTTAAAAAATTTTGTAGTTCAACCTTTTCATTCTTTTATATTTTGGTAAAGTATCCAACCCAGATTTTTCTTTTCCATTTGTTTTATGTCATATAGTTTGGAAAGATTTATTATAATACAAATTAAGGTTCTAAATTCTCACCAGTGAAAAACTATCAGTGAAAACCTTGTGGTGATTTTGAGCCCTTTTAGATGATCTGATGATGCAAATGATAATAATGTGATGCACTTTAATAATGAAGAAAACATAAACTTAACTATCAACCTGTTACTTTAAATATGTACATGTGAATGACAACAGAGCAAAATTTGTTTCACCCACAATTTCATTTGTGTAATGTCATAAGGTATCCTCTCAGACAATCAAATCAACATTCATGGGAACTAGATGGTCCAAAAAGATAGGAATTATAGGTAAAAAGAAATGCATTTGAATGTGTTGACGCTTGATTTTGGACTCCAACGACTCGCACATGGGAAACGCTGAGCTGACTCAGAAGACACACGTGATAGATCCACGAGATTTGAATATGGAGCTGAGATTATATATTTTGCAGAAAAAATAAATAAAAGATTGGCAAGAGGGGTTTTTATAATGGTTCGGATGCAACAAGCGACTCCTACATCCACTGTTATTTTATTTGATCTCTCCCTACTTTTATGAATTTGCCTGTAAGGCATACAAAGATGAAGAAATACAGTGTTTTTACAGAGAGAAAGAATTGGAGCTAAATCTCAGCCCAGCCTCCAGCCTTCCTTCTTCGGGAAGAGAAATGTCCATTTATTCACATTTGCACTCAATGCAATGAGAGCTTTTGCAAACTGTCTTGATACATGGAAGGCTCTCGTCCATTCATCTCTTTGAAATGAGATAAAGTTGGTGAGAATATCTTTGGAGATATGGGCTTGACAGCTGGTACAGAGAGACATTAATTGTGCTGACATAGGCTTGACTTTTGAGGCATAACAGAAGCCCCCCAGTTTTTGAAGTGCGTAATCGCGCTTCAGAAACTAAGTCTTTGATCTGAATTGCTGCAGTCTCGAACTGAAGAGCTCGAACTGCAATCTGTTAGGAAGACGATCAGAAATCTGTTAGGAAAACAACCAGAAATCTATTAGGAGCGACCAGAAATCTGTTAAGAGCTCGAACTGAAATCTGTTAGGAGCGACCAGAAATCTGTTAGGAGCTCGACCTGAAATCTGTTAGGAAAAAGACCTGAAAGGTCATAACGAGCTCAATCTGAGCAAAACGAGCTCAACTTGAGAGCAAAACGACCTCGACCTGAGAGGTCAAAACGACCTGAATGAGCAAAACGACCTCAACTTGAGGGGTCAAAACGAGCTCAATAAGCAGAACATCCTCAATTTTAGAGGTCAAAACGAGTTCAATGAGCAAAACGAGCTTAAAAAGCAAAATGACCTTAATTTTAGAGGTCAAAATGACCTGAATGAGCAAAACGACCTCAACTTGAGAGGTCAAAACGAGCTCAGTGAGCAAAACGACCTCGACCTGAGAGGTCAAAACGAGCTCAAAAAGCAAAACGACCTCAATTTTAGAGGTCAAAACAACCTCTCCTCGACCTGAGAGGTCAAAATGACCTGAATGAGCAAAAGGACCTCAACTTAAGAGGTCAAAACGAGCTCAATGAGCAAAATGACCTCAATTTTAGAGGTCGAAACGAGCTCAATGAGCAAAACGACTTCAATTTTAGAGGTCAAAACGACCTCTCCTCGACTTGAGAGGTCAAAACGAGCTAGACCTGAAAAGGTCATGATGAGCTTGACCTGAGAGATCATAACGAGCTCTACCTAAGAGCACAAAAGATCAGCGATCTCAGCGTGTGATCAGCGATCTGAACACGCGATTTGAAGCTAAAGATCCGCGATCTAAAGCTGAGGATCAGGATGACATGGGCGTGCGATCTGCGATCTGGCCACGCAATCGGTGAACTCTAATGCGTACGATCTGCGATCTGGCCACGCGATCAGAGAATTCTGATGCTCGATCGAAGAATTCTAACGCGTGCGATCTATGATCTGGCCACGCGATCGGAGAACTTTGACGCGGGTTTGAGACCTGAGCACGCCATCAAGGAACTCGGACGCAGGTTCGAGAATCGGACCTGCATGGGCCACCAAACTGTTGACGCTTGATTTTGGACGCCATCGACTCGCACGTGGGAAACGCTGAGCTGACTCAGAAGACACACGTGATGGATCCATGAGATTTGACTATGGAGCTGAGATTATATATTTTGCAGAAAAAATAAATAAAAGATTGGCAAGAGGGGTTTTTATAATGGTTCGGATGCAACAAGCGACTCCTACATCCACTGTTATTTTATTTGATCTCTCCCTACTTTTATGAATTTGCCCGTAAGGCATACAAAGATGAAGAAATATAGTGTTTTTACAGAGAGAAAGAATTGAAGCTAAATCTTAGCCCAGCCTCCAGCCTTCCTTCTTCGGGAAGAGAA